CACAGGTGCACTGAGACAGCCCACAGACAGGGGCTTCAGAGGTACACTATTCCACAGGTGCACTGAGACAGCCCACAGACAGGGGCTTCAGAGGTGCACTATTCCACAGGAATTCAATTCAAGATGCTTTATTGGCATGACCAATGAGTAAATCACACTCTCTCTGGCTGAGAGCAAGAGCACACAGTTCCAACCCAGAAAATGAACTTAAAATGTGCTTAAAAGCCTTCTGTTTAAGGAAAAATTAAAGTTATAATAAAACAATCTAACCCATTTTTTTATTCATTATTATTTCAATGCAAGACATTCCAGTGTATCGCTAGAAATTATTTCAATTCAGTCTTATTATCCCCTGGGGGAAATTGACTATACTTTATAGTAGGGTCCAACAAAACAATAAACTCATAACAGACCAACATCATCAACAAATAATACAATACAACAGTGCTACAGGAGATTAGAAAGTGAGTTTACATACTTTACATTCTCTGAGAGTGAGATTGCAGAGGGGGATGGAAGATTTTCTGAGTCTGTTACTTTGACACCCAGGGACACAGAGGCGTATCACAGATGAAAGTCATGTAGATTCACACTCCATAATGCCCTTGGCCTTCTTTAGAACCACCTGTTGAGGTGTGGTTTATTTGATTTACCTGTAGGTTTATTTATTAGGTTGATTTTGCTGCTTATCTTTACTAATTTTCCCAACCTTTCACCATTAACAGAGCGGATGTCACCATAGCAGGAAATGAGATACTGTAGTACTGTATGCTGGAGCACTTCCGGTAATGCAGGGTGCTGATCTACTTGCAGGCCGTATGGCACGTGGCTGGCTGGGGATCTGCAGGAGTGGCACCACAGCTCTTCCGCTCGCTGCCAGCAGAGCCCCCAAGCCAGGCGAGGGGAACCGAACCGAACCGTTAAAGTCCAGCCCACTGCTGTACTCCCGGGATTCATGGGTGGGAAGCAGTTTCCTATACGTCAGCTTCATTTAATACAAATTTAGGGAAATTACATTCTAGAAAATGTATGACAAATGTTCCTCTAACAACATCTGAAGAGACATAATTGCATCTCGACAGAATCTTTGGCCCATTAATCTTCGAGCAACCAAAGAAGCAGGATGGTCTGAATGGACTTCTCTCCCTCGTGAACTTTGTCATGTTCTTGTGCAGGGAGCCCAATATTCCCAAAACACAGTCAACGATAATAAGAGGAGCCTTTGCTATCGGGAAATGGGCTTTAACGTGTGATTGCTGATTAAAGCTGGCAGCTGGCTGTGTTGTGTAGAAGCTCTGAATGACAGCGAAGTCCCTGCAGTGGTGCTGGGTTGTTGTCTGGACATGGAGGAGGCCGGCCTGTCCTCTGATGGTGCTCTCATCATCGGCGATCAGCTTGTCCCACTACAGCTATACAATCGCATTTATATTATTAATCTCTAGAGCTTGTTCTGTTGTAATAATTGTACTTTCCCCTCAAATGCACTTTTTTTTGTCTTAAAACATTTGCTTGTTACATAAAGAAGATTTGAGCTCCCTCCGGAAGAAATACAAGAATAATCTCCTTTGAGGATTATATGAAGAGAAAATCTGAAATACCCTCATTCCCTGGCAGTGTAAAACTGAACATGAAACCCATATATTACCAAAGTTTGTTTTACAATGATTTCTTGACGTTAGAAATTATAAGTGTTTTATACAGCATTTCTGCAGTGTCACTTTCAGCAGAGGCTAATAAAACACACACTAGGACTCTGATGTCTGTAGGCATAAATAAAGCATCAACAAAGACAGAATTCAAAATTAAACATAATAAAAACTAATAAGAAGGGATGAAGGTATTTCATTTGCGGTTGAGATGGGGATATGAGCACTATTAGCTGAGCAGCACAACTAGGAAAGCATTCAGGAGCAGGCAGATAAATCATAAAAGGTGACACCTCTCTTAGTGCCTGCAAATCAATCAAGATTAAACTGCAAATCACACTTCACAGTAGCCTGGGTGATACCGCTGTTTACATACCAGTATTCCAGGGATGTATTCACAGAGATGGAAAAATAAAAATAAAATAAGAGCCCCTGTATGTCTGACTTCCGTAGCTACAGATGTGAAGTAAAACTATTAATTGAGAATGTAATTTTGTATATATTTTATATCCCTCATACAGAAGGCAAATGTGTATTGGTATCTGGACATGGTAAAATACACCTAATACAGGTGAAAGACAAAGAATGCTCCTTGATAAGAAGAAAAATACCGTGTGAACGTTGTCTTTACTCTGGATTTTCACCCTACTCTCCAGAGCTGCTGTCTGAAATCACGTCTGGAAAAATATCCAGAATAAATACAGGTCAGACATGTCTGTGTGACCATATAAGGTCACAGGTCAGTTCAAATGCCAGATCTTCAGCACTCTATCAACCATGTTTATACAGGCTCGCCGGCAGGAACTCTGTAACTAAACTGGTTTGAGGCACCAGGTTTTGACAACACTGCAACGAAGCCTTCATCAAAATAAAGACCAGATGTGTTTTATTACACCACTTCAAAAACAGAATCCGAAAACAGGTCACAGAGCAGTGATGTGTTCTAAACAAACTGGGTCAATACCCTGGATTAACAAGTCTCTCCTCATCCACTAGGATGTACAGCACACACAATAGTTTTTATATATGAAAAAATTGGCTATTACAGTGATATTGCAGGGGGATACTCGTCTATTAATACAGCCTGACCTACAGTCCCGAGGATGTAATAACCTGGCTCCATTACAGCGCCTATATTTACGAGTGCACTCAAAGACAGGACCCGTGATTACCATGTGGGAATGCTTTGATCAGACTGCTCCTCCTGCCCTGTCTGTCTAAACACGGGGAGCACTGAACTGCAGCTGTCTGCAATCGAAGGCACTGGTCCCGAAATCCCAGTGATGTCATCTTGGCAGAACGCAGACTCTCTCTTACACATCAACTCTTCCTTCGGCGGAGCCAAGGCAACGATCAACAGATTTCTTTCCCCGGTGTATCACTTTACAGAGTGTGCATGGTGCAGAGACGCCACCACGGCAGCAGACTTCTTCTTTTGCCATCGGTGGAGAGCGAGATGTTGAGCTCAGTGTTAAACGGTACCAGTTCTGGTACACACACCTAGCAGAAGTGCTCACTGTTGTATCCTCCCCCTTCCCTGCACTTTCCTCCTGCCCTGATAGAGTAGGTGTCATGAGAGCACCCACACAGCACACAAGCAGCTCCTGGGCTTCTCAGAGCGCAGAACACCAGCAGCAGAGCGGCAGCCTCATGTCTGAAGGTGGCGCTGCCCTGGCCACCGCTTGGCCAGTGCCTGAGCAGGAAGCTCTTCAAAGTGCTGCTGGGCATGAGTGCTGGTTTGCTCAGCCAGCAGGGAGGGTGAAAATGAGATGGCCATTGACTGAAACAAGTGCATCCGCAGATTGCTGAGCTACTGGAAACCAAATAAACAATCAAGATGGGCCAAATGGCCGCCTCTCATTTGCAACCTTAAGTTTAAATATGTGCAATGCAGCTCCAGCAATCTGAATTTAAATGCTTACATTTAAACACTTCCGGTTCCCAATATACGCCCCTCATGCACTCCTTAATTTGACTTCTCTGAAGAGCGGTATATAACTATTACATTTGGAAGGACATAATTCAGACGTCGCAGTCATACACACTTCAGGGGAAGAATCTTTCATTATTATGCAAATTTAAAAGCTGCTACAAGAGGAAAGAAAAATATTTCACAATCGAATTATCTGCAAGGACAGTGAATTCCAATGAGAGCGTGCCTGTCTTTCGACTTTAACCAGCATTCTGGACACGGCGCCAAGGTGCAAGACCAGATCCTCAGTTCCTGGGTGCTGTGCTGTTCCGATTTGCTAAACAAGCCACAGGACAGCATGACAGAGAGGGCTTTGGCCTGAAAGGACACAGGACACCAGCTGGCTCGGAGGTGAGGTTTACATGGAGAGGGCAGGAGGGCTTTGGGCTCTGGGCTCTGCGCCCTCGGGCACAGGGACCCGGGGAGTCCAGAGGAAAGAGGGACAAAGTCTCTGTCTCTGCTTGGGATGAGCACTTCAGATTTCTAGGTTCTCGAGTACTCACTCCCCACTCAACGTCCAAGTGTAATGACAGGTCTCAAACCGAATGGCAATTCCTTAATAACAAGAAATAGGTTTATTCAATGCTGAAAAAAAGAAGAGAGAAAAAACACAACGTTTCGGCCGTGGAGCATTCTTCAGGTGGCCGATATTTACTCAAAGTGTTGTGGGAGTGGGGAACAAGCTACCCTCCAGCTTCCTTCAAGCTGGGCGGATGAGATTGACAGATCAATAAACTACTAACTATGGAATGAGCCTGATGGCTTCCTCTCATTTGTAACCTTTCTTATTCTTTACACTCTGATGTA